CCAACCTCACGCCCGGCGCGACTTCCTGATCGGAGTGGGATGGGGGCCTGGAAGTGCGAAGAGGGGTGTGCCAAGGATTTTTGGAAAGTGGGGGTGGAAGTCCCAGGTCGGAAYTGGGATCTTCTGTGGCCGAGTTCAAGGGTCGTGGGCGCAATAYTGYCGTAGGGCAGGGCAAGCACGCAATTACCGCCTATCTCACCGTTTCGGGTTTGATGGGGATCACYGGGGTGCGGGGGACTGCCGCRCGTCCTGCCTRGGGACTCRRAAGGGGGTCGATCGTTGGCCACGCCGCGGGTTATGGGCGCGCTGGTCAAAGCGAGGAGCAAGCRGGTGGCGCCTGAGTAAACACTCTTTGCACGGTTCARGCCAATACGCGGCTATGACCCGCCAGGGCACCACTGTGAGCTGGTGATATGGGAGGAGAACACGAAAGGGAGGGTAATTAGTGGCGACAACCACGAATCCGGGAGAGGTGTAATATTGTGTGTAATCTGGTTCGGGATAGTCTGCTCCGCGCGGATCGTTGGTTATCGCGCGATGGAATTCCCGCTCGCACACTTGGTTTCTCGTGTAATTCGGGAATTCYGGATACGCTCCTCRCGTGCAATAGTACTCCCGRCGGGATTCCTGATTCCAGGGCTSAAAGTAYTCCCTATCCCAWGATGAGCTAGAGCCTGAGGACCGTGTCATCGTTGCGGCGGTTCTCAGACATGGGTTCTCGGATATGCTCGGCGTAATTTTTGGGTMGGGATGATGACGTCAATTACGAACTCAAACAGACAATYTGCACRTACATCCAGCATAATGATAGCSGGCGACTAATTCTGTCTACACATCACGATGCAATCAAAACTTCACGMGGTTGTGAGCAACTAATCCCAWACATTAGGAAGGAGCAAGAGGAAACRATGYGCATTCCATCCATTCATCCATGTCGGCAAAAAGGCAATCAAAAGARAAGGAAATRCARGATGCGCCAATTCAAGCGAAAACCAAAACAGAGATATCGAACCGAAGGATAGGGGGCGRTCGCCCAGTCAAAATTTATGTACACACAAGAGAGGGGAAGAGATAAGAAACTGCAAACCCATGTCCACACAACTCTCTCTCTCTCTCTCTCTCTCTTTCTCTCTCTCTCTCTCTCTCTCTCTCTCTCTCTCTCCCCGATGTGGACAGTCCGTCGTCACGCACCAACCCGCGAAGCTGTCACCCCGCTTAACCCTCCTGCACCCGTCAGGTTCGCCTGTGCCCACAGTCCGTCGTGGCCCACGTCAACCCCGCGCATTCGGCGTCAGCTCGTCGGATCGCCCAACTTCGCCTTTGCTCACCTCTTACTTCGCTCGTGTGCCGATCTCACATCGCGCAACCCCGAGCTTTCAGTTCGCTAAGAGAGCAAGTTAATCGCGCAGCCGGATTTTATAGCGTGCATGCATGCGCGAAGAACACGGACTTACAAGAACGTAGATAGATGGGGGAAAGGGAGTGCCTACGTTTGCATGGTCGGGCCGCGGCGTGGGGGACGTACCCACTCCACGCATCGATCCGAACATGCAACCGCGGCTACTCAATGTAGGCNCTCTCTCTCTCTCTCTCTCTCTCCGATGCGGACAGTCCGTCGTCACGCACCAACCCGCGAAGCTGTCACCCCGCTTAACCCTCCTGCACCCGTCAGGTTCGCCCGTGCCCACAGCCCGTCGTGGCCCACGTCAACCCCGCGCATTCGGCGTCAGCTCGTCGGATCGCCCAACTCCGCCTTTGCTCACCTCTTACTTCGCTCGTGTGTCGATCTCACATCGCGCAACCCCGAGCTTCCAGTTCGCTAAGAGAGCAAGTTAATCGCGCAGCCGGAATTTATAGCGTGCATGCATGCGGGAAGAACACGGACTTACAAGGACGTAGATAGATAGGGGAAAGGGAGTGCCTACGTTTGCATGGTCGGGCCGCAGCGTGGGGGACGTACCCACTCCACGCATCGATCCGAACATGCAACCGCGGCTACTCAATGTAGGCAGGGGGGGGAGGAAGGAAGAAACGAGGCGGGAAGAAGAAGAAGCAAGAAACAGAAAGATACAGTTACAAAAGTGTGCGCCCAAAAATTACAGTTGCAAAAGGATTAAGGCGCCAATCAATCAAAGTTCCGGCGCAGCAGCACGAAAGAGCGCGCGAGCATGAAGAGCAATGCCCCAGAAAAGCAAAAATTCCAAAATTCCTAAATTCCTAGCTAGCCTGCCGAAAATGTCCGAAAAGAAAATCAAAATTTCGAAGGCCGTATGGCTCCGACCAAGATTCGAAAAGAAAATTCAAGAAAGAAATTCAAAAGAGATACCGAAATTCCCGCGCGATGTCTGCGCGCCCAAAAGTCCGACAAAGCAAAATTGAAAGAAAAGAAGGGACGCCAATGTTTATTAATTGAGCACTCGGCGCGCACTCCGCATCCATCCAAGTTTCGCCCCCCTTTTCCCCGTGTATTCCCGAATTGTCCCCAACTGTCATCAGGGGCTCGTGCGAGAACGAAGAAACAACAAAAAGGCAAGGACACACATGCAATTTTCCCTCAACCCATCCAATCGATGTGGGACCCTGCTCAGCACTTCGCGCTGAAAGTCGCGCATTACAGAAGCTAGTTCGTCACATATGTGACGCCCGGGGGGGGTCCAAAGATAAGCAAGCTCCTGCTTGCTAGCTGACGTGTCACTCCTCTTTGATTGATTGGCGGTGGAGGGTTGATCTTCTTTTCTGCCGCATACCGTGCGAACGAGTGTGGACATCATGTTGCGCGGCAGTCGTATCCTGGTTGTCGTTACTCATGGGGAAGAGGAAAAGGAAGACGATAGGCAGCCGGAGGTGTTGATGGGGGATGAGTCGGGATAGGCGGGAAGAAGCGTTCCAGCTCATCGTCCATTTTTCCGGAAGGCTCCGATGATGGACGATTCTATGGAAGCGGGGGAATCGACGACCAGTAGCGGGGAGAGAAGCGAGGTAGTCGGGGTAGAGAGTGGTGAAGGTTCTAAGAAGCGTCGCGTGAAAGCGATCGCGGTCGACGCAGGCGGGGATTAACCCCGTGATGAGGCAATAAACCTCTACGGCGTTAATACGACACCATCCAATGCTAAAGAAAAGTGCATGGAGAGGGAACTCGGGGGAAGCACGCCGGGAGGATGAGCGGGGATGGACTGCGACAAAGAGACGGATGGAGAAGTAATGACGGAAAGTGTCGCGGGGGAAGGGGTTATGGGGGAAGACGGCGGGACGGGTGAGCTGGCGCAGGGTGAGGAAGTCATGGGGGCGGAGAGAGAGAGCACGAGGACGAAGACCGATCGGCCTCATCTCGACGTGCTCGAAGTGGGGGACGGGCCGCGAGGGACAGGGAGGCGGAGGGGGAGCGGCTTCGTCGTCAGCGTCGCGGTGGGGAAGGAGGCCGGCGAGCGGACGGCCCAACCACCTGGGCCACATGGCCGTCGTCTGGCTGAGGTGGCTCCGGGTCGAGCGTTGGATCGTTGCTGATCGGAAGATCAGCAACCGGCGCAATTTCTAGTAGGGGACCCTCGTTGGCCTGCTCCTCGTCGTTGTCATCACCGCTCCCCTGCTCGCTTTCTTCTTCTGCTTCCTCTTCGCTCTCCGCTTGCTGGAGCTCGTCTTCGCCTCCTTCTTGTTGTTGTGCCGGTTCCCCTTCGTCTTCGTTCAGATTCTCCTCCTCTTCCTCCGAAGTTTCTTCCGCGAGCTCCTCGCGGATTATCTCCTCCAATTCGTCTTCGTACGGCGGTCTGTAGAAAACGGGATCCACGATGTCGCGCGGATCTAAATAATCCAACCGTGAAGGCGGAATTCTCGATGGGAAGCCCTCCACGCAAGTTGACCACTGAAGATACGGCGACAGCGTGCGCGAAGTGACGTGGGGCACCAAGCGCGGGTCGACTTGGGAGACGATGCTGACGTCAAGATGGTCGGCCAGCTGCGCAGTCGGGACCGTAAGCTCCTAGGTGAGAAGCCTCCGACAGCCCGGACGTACTGCCCCGAATAGAAAACCGAGAAGGTCCCCCTCTACTTCCGTCTGCCACGCCTGAAACAAAAGGAGCTCCAATCGCTCACTCCGCGGGTAATTGCTCTCGTCCCTCGTCCACTTCACCCGTACTTCCGCCAAACACAGTGAGAGTTCAATGAAGTCTCCGCGCCACGCGTCCCACTGAGAGGGATCGAGGAGGGGAACAACCAGAGGATCTATGCAGAAGGAGAGGCGGGGATGAAGATCAGACTGCCAAAAGGTGGGGAAGGAAGAAGGAAGCTCGAAAGTAGAGATCGCGAAGGAACTCATCGGGGATGAAAGGGGATGAGAGGGGGTAATTGCGTCGGCAAGTCACGCCGATGCAGCCGAAGGCCGTTGTATTCGATTGCTCGGATTGGTGCGATCACGTCCCCTTGGTGCGCCAGGATCTGGGTCCACTCGTTCTGAAGATTGTGCGCCCACAGAAGCAACGTCGCCTTGATTCTCGTGTGTCGGATGGGGGGGATCGTCGTGAGATCCCCACTGAAATTAACCACCACCGTTATCCGGCTGACGTCCACAGATGTTCGCTGTCGCAACCCGACAGCTTCGGCCAATATGATCGCGTCAGCCCTCCCGTCGACGTGGATCTTTGCTGCCGCGTAGACGCCCTTCGAGCAAAAGAATTGCACAACCCGCTGAAGGTCCGGACTGAGACGAGGATGATGCACCTGCCGCAGTGTCAAATTCCCCCGTGCTACCAGTGCTTCTTCACTTAGAGCTCTCTCCTCCATAAAGCTCATGGCGATGGCGAGGGTGACGGCGTATCCGACAGGGATTGAGAAGGAGAAGGAGATACAGAGGAGATAGAGTCGTCGTCGGGAGAGGTTGATGGAGAAGGAGACGGAACAGAGGGAAGAAGGCGGAGATAGGACACGTGGCGTGTGATCGGGCGAGCCGATCGACTGCCGGAAATCTCGGGAGCGAGGCGGACGGTGTCCACGCCGTTGGGTCCGAGTTCAATCACTCGATACTGTCCGAATAATCGTGGCGCTAGTTTACCCTCGCGCGCACATTTCCTTACCTGCACGATGTCCCCTAACTTATACTGGGTCCTGGGACCCGCATTTCTGTTTCGGGCCTCGTAACTCCGGACCTGTCGGCCGTGGGACAATTCGGTGGACCGTTGGCGCTTCCGTGCTAGTCTAGGTAGGGACCGCTCCATGAGTTCCAGGTGCCTTTTGGCTTTGTCCCGAGCGGTGGCCCTTGTGGGTCGTCGGTTGAGTCCTGATTCGTCTGGGAGGCTCGGTATCGATACACACGCGACACTATTGGTCCGCAACTGGAAGGGGCTTAGGCCCGTCGATTCGTGGGGCGTTCCGGGATGGACCGCCAAGATGTGGTCGACAATATCAAGCCAGGGTCGGGGGTCTCGTGCCGCAATATTCCGCCGCAAGGCCGTTTTTATCACCCTATTCGCGTTTTCCACTAATCCGTTAGACTGGGACATGTGCGGGGCCGTGTGCCTTATGGAGACGCCGTGTATGACCAGGCTCCTCTCGATTTCTCCTCTAAATTCGACCCCATTGTCGGTCAGGATCTCCTCTGTGTCCTGGTGCATGCCCAGAAAGCGGTTGACGTACCGCGCGATTTCCGCGGTTTGTCTTGTCTTGCAGGGGTAGGCCTCGATCCACTTAGAAAAGTGGTCGACGCAAACCAGCAGAATTGAACAGTCGCAAATATTCGGTCCGGGGGGCACCACTATATCAGTAGTATCCATACTAACCCTCTGAAACGGCCTTTCAACCACAGTTGGGACTATCGACCTAGGCGGTTGGGTTGGGGCCTTGTCAACAGCGCAGACCTGGCAGTGTTGGACGATGAATTTAACGTCGTCTCGGATATTGGACCAGTACCATTGATTTCTGTCAATCGCAGCTTCGGTAATACGCACGGCAAAATGCGCCGCTGTTTCCTCGTGGGCGGTTCATACCCAGTCGTACCGCATGAACGGGTGCGGAACTACTAACCATGCTCCACTGTCATCCGTTTTACGCTTCTCTAACCGTCCATCCACCCATCGGTAATCCCGTGCTCTTCCATTGGCCCTCCTCTGATCCTCCTTGGAGAAGGTTTCAAGGGAGTTGCCTACCACCGTGGCTATCAAGGCGACATCTGTCCAGACTTCCGCCCTTCTAAACTTCTGGATTTTGTCGGGGCCTTCCGACGTGGCATCAAGGAATCGGGCTTCCGTCGGAATCTTGTCAGTGCGACAAAGGGACAGAACCAGGTTCTATCACTACTCTGATACTGTATGCACGCACCGTGAGCACGTGCGACACATTTCCGACAATCTACCCATTCAACATATCCCGTCCCTTTTGGACACATGTGGACGGAATGGACTCGAGAAATTGACTCGCAGAAATAGCAAAATTTGTCAGGAAGGGAGGCGAAAGAAAAGGATGGGGAAGAAAGAGAGGGAATCAGGACATTACCTCCGTCACCCATTGCCCTTCGCTGGCTTCTTGCCACGTGGAATAACCTCAACTTCTCCAAACTTTGGACCGTTGTTGATGTCCAAGTCCTTCCACGGTGTGATCTCTTCCGCTTTTGGTACTTTACCGGGTCGGTGCAAACGTGTCAGTCCGTTAGCGTTGCCGTGTCTTTCCATTTTTCGATGAACAATGTCGAAATCATATTCTTGCAACTGCACCGCCCACCGTCTGATCATGCCCGTGTAGTTGGTTAGCTTTTTCAAAGCCAACAGAGGTTCATGGTCGGTGACGAGCAAAAACTTCTGACCGTACAAATACGGATGGAAGTGTTGGATACCCCACACTACCGCATAGCATTCTCCTTGTGGCGCGGAATTGTTTCGTCGCTCGTATGGCACCGTCCGAGAAGCGTACTCAATGACATGCTCCTTCCCATCGTTTCCCTTCTGCGCCAGGATGGCCGAAATAGCCTCCGGCTGCCAGTCGGTGATGAGAATAAACTGCCGAGAGGGGTCCGGCCGGATCAGAATCAGGGCCGTGACGAGAGCATCCTTCAAGGCCCCGAAGGCCTGGTCGCACTCGTCATCCCAATGAAGGGGTTGTTCTTTTCGCAGCAGGTTTGTCAGAGGCCTTGCTACAGCCGCGAACCCCTTGATGAACCGTCGGTAATACGAGGCCAGGCCCAAAAAGGCTCGAACCTGCGTCAGCGAGGTCAAAACCGGGGCCTCTTTGACCGCCGCGACTTTTCGAGAGTCTGGCTGCAGGCCTCCACGTGTCACCACATACCCCAAGAACGAGATTTCCGGGAGGAAAAACTTGCTCTTCTCCAACGCAATCTTGAAACCTGCGTCTCTCAACGCACCCAACGTCCACTCGATGTGTTGTGCGTGTCCGTGAAACGTGTCCGAGTACACCAGAATGTCATCCACGTACACGATGACACAGAAGTTAATCATCCCCTGAGTCAACCGCGTCTTATTGACGAAATTTTGAAAAGTCACGTTCATCGCCCGCTGAAACGTGGCAGGCGCATTGCAGATTCTCATCGGGCACCAAACCCACTGCCACGTGCCTTCAAACAAAACGAAGGCGGTCTTGGGCCGATCTTCTTCTTTCACCAAGATATGATGAAACCCATGCCGAATGTCGAACTTGCTAAAGTAGTTACCACACCCGATCGCATCAAGTAGATCATCAATCCGAGGAAGGGGATACACATCTTTAATCGTGATATCATTTAGCTTTCGATAATCGATGCATATGCAGACTGACCCGTTCTTTTTAGGAACCAACACAACTGGGAACGACCAGGGGCCGGTGGCAGGCTCAATCCATCCGTTTGCCTCAAATTCCCTGATTCGCTGCAAGGCCGTCTTGCGCTCTGTCAACGAGTATCGATACGGCTTGCAGTGGATCGGGGAATGATTCCCGTTCTGAATCTCATGTTGAACGACCACAGATAATCCAATATCGGCATCGGACACGCTAATCGCCCCTTGATATTCTAGTAAAATATCAACGATCAACCGGTGGATCTCATCAGGTACATACTGGGGCACATGTAATTCATATATTTGATCCAAAATCCGAACGTTAACTTGCTTCGTGTGTATACGCCGAGTAGTGTCAGGCGGTGCAAATATAAAAGAGTGATCCGATCTCCAAGAAAACATACTGGTTCGGGGGTTATCCCGTCGCAGATGTCTCGCCAGGGCACGTTTTGGGGTGAGATTTTGATCCCGAATTCATCGGATCTTGCCTCGATGTGCCGACGGGGTTCGAAAGAACCTGCTTCGGCTCCCAAACGTAACAACTGAACTTCTTTTGCGGGCTGAAGCAGGGATCGAGGTAAGTTAGTGAGATCACAAAAGGAACGTTTGTCACTATATCGAAGGAGAAGGGGAGATACGCCTTCGTACAGGGTCCGAGGGGGTTCCAAGGAATCAACCAGCCTCGAAATCTGTACTAGGGGTTCTCCCATGATCATCATATGACCACGCCGTGTGGTTAGATGCATGGTACGCGCAATAGTGCGAGGCGGCGGGTAGTGAATCTGCTGCCATAATAACTATGTAACGACTGGGTCGTCATCGTCGTCGCTCCACGCGTCGTTTGATGATTGGCCTCCGTCCACAGGTGCATTCCAAGAGACCATGCGAAGCGCTCCCATTGTTTCCGGAGAAATTCGGGGTACTACCTTAACCGACATTCGAAGAGATGGGTATTACATATGGCTTTCCCCCGGTATTCCGAAGAACGACGGATCGGCGTTCGAAGTCCAAATTAGCGCGTAGCGCCACTAATGCAGGAAGCCCGAACAGAACGTCATATGTATTCACATCCAGCAACACAACATCTCCTAAAGCATGCACTTTTCCCAATTGGAACGCGACGTTCGTCATACGTCCTACTGTCTTGATCTTCTCCTCGTCAACCGATACGAGCTGGTCCTTCTCGGTTAGCATAATCAAATCATTCTTCCTACCCGCTCTCTCTCAGAGTGATATCGCTAGGACAGCCGCTCCTGAATCTATGATCGCACTATACGGCATTCCCCAAACTTCAATATCACATTCGGCTGACTTCCATGGAATCGGCTTGATCCGAAGAAAGTGGTCATCTTTCTGTATTAATCCAACTCGGATAGGATCAGGGGCGACGTCCGCCTTTTCCTCCGAAGGCGGCGCTTTCGCCTTCTGATCTTTTGCGCGTGCAAGGGCGAATCGCTTCCCGTTCGCTTTGCAATGTTGCATCATACGTTCGTTCG